TCCTTATGTCAATAAAAATTGATCCTATTACCAAACCAACCTTTTTTCAGGTGAATTATTGGATCACTAAACTGGTTACCTGCAAACTTTAAATTCGGGAATCTGTTGTTCAGGGGTGCAACTAAGGCTCTTTTGTGTCAAAAATTCGCTCATACACCATCTACGAATCGGATACAAATTTGTGGAAAATGAAGTAATACTTTGCGTTCGATACATATACTTATGGGCTGAAAAGTCCCGAGCCCAAGAAAAAAACTGTTTTTTTTTAAATGGGCTTTATTTATCGACGTTATCCATCACATAATCATTCCAGCGCCGATCTATCATTTCAATACTACTTTTTTCAGAACGATTTATATCTATCTTCACTCAAAATTGGCCTCAGTTCCAGCAATAACATTTTCATTCGAGCGAAATTTTTTACCGTTGAGCATTTCTCTGAGGTCTTCGAGGAGCCACCAGTCGCTGGGAGCCAAATCTGGCGAATATGTTGGATGTGGAAGCAACTCGAAGTCCAATTCATGTAGGTTTGCCATTGTCTTGAGCGACTCGTGACACGGTGCGTTGTCTTGATGAAATAACATTTTTTTCTCTGACATATGCGCTCGTTTTTTCGCAACTTCGGCATTGAAACGCTTCAAGATTGCCCCTTCTCAGGACAGTTGATGAAAATCACCCCAGGCACATCACAACATACCAAGGCCATAACTTTTCCAGCCCAATGATGTGCTTCTGGACGCTTTGGAGGAGATTTACCAGTTGCTCTCCACTCAGATGACGATTGTATGGATTCCGGAGTGAAATGATGGATACACGATTCATCCATGTTTGTTTTGTTCAAACATAGTGAAACACTGCACAGATTCATCAAAACTTTCTTGTTTCTGGTCAACACTGATCTCGCGCAGCACCCACTTCGAACAGAGCTTTCTCATAGTCAAGAGCTCATACAATATAAAGCCAGTGCATCCTCTGTGTATCTTCACAATGTCAGCTTACTCACGCAACTTCACTTCTCGATCACTCAGAGTAATGTGGTGGACATTTTTAAGTTTTCTGGTGTCACTGCCACAGAACGATTTGAAGAAATAGGAAGAGAGACATTGCTTGAAGATCTGACAAGACATGAAGAATACCTACAACAGGAAGTGGGGAAAGTTGGTGAGGAAACAATGCTCAAATGCGAAACGAGAACAGGACAACTATGAAGTCACCAACGTCATGAACATGAGTTCCCGCCCGTTCACGAACATAGAGAAATCTTTGTTGAGGAAAAGTATGAACTTTGCATTGCACCAACATCTGTGTCCACTTTAGAAATGATAACTGCAGTAGAATCCATCAGTTCTCTTATGAATCAAATCGAGGCAGAAGAATTCAAATGGAAAATCAGAGAACAGCTAGATCGAGAACCAGTTCCAACTTCTAACGTCAGCAGTGAAGAACGGAGAGTCCTAAACGGGCTACGTAGAGACAACACTATCGAGATCTCACCTGCAGATAAGGGAAATGCTACTGTTGTGATGGATACTGATCTCTACGAACAGAAGATCGAAGAGGTGCTTCAGAACGGAAAATACACGAAGATCGTAAGAGACCCTACTGCATCAATTGGAAGGAAGTTGTACCAGACTTTGAAAAAACACCAAGTCTATTTTTCGAAAAAAGAGAGATCATCGCTAACACCGCACCACAGTGAGCCCACTCACTTGTATGGACTACGCAAAATCCACAAAAAGGATGTTTCGCTCAGACCGATCATTAGCTCCAGAGATTCAGCCTCTCAGAACTTGTCCAGATTTTCACTACCAATAATTAAACCACTGCAAGGTAGAACATCATCTTTTGTGAAAAATTCTGAGCATTTCGTTAAACTACTAGAGGAAATCAAAGTCAAAGTGCATTATCAACTGATCAGTTTCAACGTTCCTGTCGAAGAAGCACAATCATACAGAAGAAGCTATCTGAAAATGTGGACCTGAGAGATAGAACAAACTTACTGATACAAGTAATCATGAAATTACTAGGATTCTGTGTACGAAACTGCTACTTTAATATATATTTGGAGTGGTTTGAAACTCTGGCCATTGAAGAAGCCTAGAAGAAGCCCGGAGTCTGGTTGAGATACGTAAACGACACCTTCATAATATGGAACCATGTGAATGCAGAACTGGACACTTTACTCAAGCACATAAATAACGTAAGTCTTTCCATCACTTTCAGAATGGAGAAGGGAGTCCACAACGAATTGCCTTCCTCAGACGTTTTGGTAAAGAGGGAAGCATCTGTATATCGAAAATCAACCCACACCGGACAGTATCTGAATCAGAAATCCAACCACCATCAATCGACTAAGAGAGAAATCATCAAGACTCTACCAGACCGTGCTTTCGGGCACTGTAATACAAAGAAAGGTCTCGAAAAGAAACTAGGCATCATCAAAAATGACCTTCAACGGATTGGTTACTCCAGAGTGATGGTAGAACAGGCTTTAGCTAGAAAACAGAAGAAGCTTCACAAGAAAGCGAAGCCCCCACAACCAGTACTTGTACTTCTCTACATCAGAGGATTATCGAAAAGGATAAGAAGGATTGGGTCCAAGTATAACATCAGGACCTGCTTCAGATCTGAAAACACTATCCGTAGCAGCCTCACGAAAACCAGGCCACCAAACGCGGACTGCGATTCCAAAAATTGCATTTACTGGATACCCTGCGAGTGCGGAGAATCATACATCGGTGAAACTAAGAAGTCATTGGAAGTTCGCATTGCTGAACACAAGAAACACACACAGTGAGGAGAAACCAGCAAATGCACAGAGCATGTTTGGACTCATCAACATAACAGCAAGTGGAGTTAAACTGAAATCATCCTCAAAGAGGAACACTGGTTTGGGAGAAAATTCGAAGGAGACACGTATATGTTGTCCAACAACGCATTCAAGCTAGCATAGAGTTACGTACCATTTGGAAACCTCTAATCAAGCGAAAAACGACCAACTCCCGCCAAACGGTCATCTCCCGTCAAAACCAATGAAGCGGTGAGAGGGAAGAGCGGGTAAGTGAAAGCACTCGAATGACCTATTAATAATTAGATCTCGGAGGAGTTATCTCCCGAAAACGATTGTGGATACTAACAATCGAAACGTCGTGACGTAACGTAGTTTGGAATCTTTAAATTTTTTTTTCCATTTTTTGTCAATAATATTTTTTCAATTTTTCAATTTTCAGGTTTTATTGATATTTAAATTTTTTATTTTTGGGTTGTTGCTTGTATGTTATTTCTTTGTAATTTCAGTTTCTTGTTTGATAAAATTGTTATTTTTGGTTATTCTGTTTGATTTTTTTCAGGGATTTCAGATAAATTTACATTATATTAGACAATGGAAGTCCGAACTGATAGAGTACACCACGAAACATTGTCAACCACCTTCAAACAAACTAAAGTAGTCTCACTCTCAGCACGATAACTCACAAACTAATCAGTAGAATATCATTGGATTTCAACAGCTTTCTATGTGTTAGGTCCGAGTATTTTAAAACTATGTAGTGTATTGTAGTATAGCCAAGAGTGTAATGAAGGATGTTGGGGATGGAGACGAAACCGGTAATGAACACCAAGAAGAGTGGTTTGGAGACAAGACTATTCATCTATAGAAAAAATTGTTCAGAATTTAATGAACCCATTCCATCGTTCTCAAAGTTGTTAACTTGTGAAATGATGTCGGGAATAAATGTGAAAATACTTATCCTCTTCAATGAAAAATGAAATTTATTGTTGGATTCTGCAAAACAAATATTTTGATATTCTCCACAATTAATTTAATTTTTGTATCTTCCTCTCTTTTCTCTCTTGAGTACTTTCTCATTTCGAAATATCAATTGAATTGAATGAAAGCTGTAGCTTCTTCACAAAAATACCATTGATGATTACTGAACGAACTATTTCGAAGTGAATGTGAACGGCAGAATATTTTATACAAACCTCTAGAATCATGACTGCTTTCTTCAAATGAATCGGCGTAATTTTCAACAGTTCTGATAACTTTATTTTATTCACATCGTCAATGACAATGTTTGTCGTTAAAATATCTTCATCCATTCTGAATCCCAGTATATTTGAAGCATATCCCATCCATCTATCGAAGTCCCAGTTTTCTGTACAATTTTCCACTATTTTCGCTATGTATATTCTGTCTTCCCCTGCCGTTCTTTTCGGCAAAGGAAAAAAGTACCTAGAATTTTCGTGAGAAAAAATTATTTTCAATGAAATCAATCAGATAATGGGAAATATTATGAATGAATAGAGCGAGGAACCTTTTTCTCCAGTGAGTGTTTCCTAGTGAAACAGATCGAAATCATTAGAAACACTTAAAAACACAATACTAAAATGATTCTTACCGGATGATGTGTTCATGACTTGTCAGATATATTTTTCATTTTGATCTTCAGGAGATAAGAATGAATTTATTCTCCCTGAGTTGACGGAATGAATGGAATCCCTATGAATGAATTGGATTCTGTATATTTGATTTTTGAATAATTCAATGTTTCTACAGAAATAGCTATTCCAGAAGTACTTTTTCTTTTATGTATTCCATTATTCAAATCAGAGTAGTTGTTTCGAGAGGAATTTGTGAAAAGTTCATTTTGAAAGTGATGAAATAGAACAAATAAAATATGTATTGATCCTACTAACTATTCATAATGATGAATAGGACAAGTTAATTTCTGTTACAATTTTGAATGTCCTAGAAAAACAATTTGAGGTTCAGTTGACGAACAAATCCACAACAAGACAAACCGTTACAATGCAAAGTTATTACAAGTTCACACTCGTAACCAGGAAATCTTGCGTTTTTTATTTCATGCAATAGAATGTTGGAAAAACAGCAGTCTGCATTGATGAGAGATTTTTTTGTAACTTGGATGTTTGCTTTCTTCCTCACTCCATGCTCCATTCAGAATGTTTTTCAATTATCTCGATACAAAGAAGAATGTGGTCATCTTTCAAAGAAAGTAAGAAAGTAATTGATTCCAAAATAAACTCTATACAAAACTTTGTAGTTTAGGCGAAAAAGTAACTTTCAGAAGTTATTCAAAAAACATTATTTCTGACAGTCAGCAGAGTCTTCCTGATATCAGTCCACAAAGAAATAACATGGCAACTGCAGTTGCTAAGAGGATCACCTATGATGCACTGTTTGGAACCTTTGATGTAGTAATTAATATTACTGGAGTTTTTTCCCAACACCGAATCGTTATTTTCAACACCTCGACACGTGTTTCGATCACCAAGTGATCATCTTCAAAGAAGAAGATTAAAACTAGAAACTTACGTGAAGCTAACCCTATTTATGCTATATAGGTATCCCCTACAGGTAAACCATCCAGGTGTACCACCCATACAGGTATACCAACCTAAATTAATTCCACAATTTCTCCTCATCTATTATTTTACAATATATGTTTAACTGTTATAGCTGTATATAAAACAATTTTCAGCTATATAAAAATAAATTTCACAATATTGTCTATCTAAATTTACTTTTGCAATGTGTCCTTATGTAGTAATCAGAAAACACAACAACATTATTTCAACAAGCTATATAGTATGCTCTTTGGTATAGGGCCGTCATCGTTATTCATAATATTATTGTGTTTACTCATTTCTACACTCTCATAGGCATCTAGTTGCCTGTTGTTGTCAACTTATCTAACTAATCTTAATGAACTGAAGTCTATGGAATGGTTTTGTTGCAAAATATGATGGGCGACTGCTGATTTTCCAGGTCTTCCATATTTTAAGTGTGCTATGTGTTCCTTATATCTTACTTCAATAGATATTTTTGTCTGTTCATAATATTTTGCATCGCAGTCCTTACATTCAATTTCGTAAATTCCAAACTTTTCCGAATTCTCGACTTTGTCTTTTGGACTTCCCAAAAGGCTCTGTAGTGTATGACTTGTTTCAAAAACCACCTTCTTACCTAGTTCCTTGAAAATATTTCCAAAGTTCCTCGTATATTGGTGATATGGAACAGAGATGTATCTATTTTGGTTTTTGTCCTTTCTGAAAGTCGAGATTTCATTCATTCTTAACCTAACCACTAACCATTGCAAAAATAAATTTAGATAGGCAATAATGTGAAATTAATTTTTATATAGCTGAAAATTGTTTTATATAGAGCTATAACATATATTGTAAAATAATAGATGAGGAAAAATTGTAAAATTATTTCAGGTTAGTATACCTGAATGGGAGGTACACCTGGATAGTTCACCTGTATGGCATACCTATATAGCATAAATAGGGTAAGCTTCGCGTTTGTTTCTAGTTTTGATCTTCCTCTATGAAGATGATCACTTGGGGATCGAAACACGAGTCGAAGTGTTGAAAATAACGATTTGGTGTTAGAAAAAAAATCCAGTAATATTCAAGATGATCACTAGCAACTTTAAAATCGATTTCTAAAACATCAGAGAACTCAACTTAAATATATCCTCAGTGTACCATCAAATATTCCTCATATTCTTGCGCCCACAGAAATCAATGTCAGTGCTTCAACAAACCCCGTCAATTTTTTATATCTCGGTTATGATTTTCAATCCGGATTCAGATGTAACTTTGGAATATCTCCTTCCATCAGAAGCTATCTCTCCTGTAACCAAATTCATATACTGCGTTTATCGACCACCTAGCGATACACAATATAGAGCACTATTTCCTTCAATTGCAAAGACCATTGACTTTCTGCAAATAAATTATCCTAGTGCTGAATTTTCCATATTCTGTGATTTCAATATCCATAATATCGAATGGCTCAAATTTTCCAATCTCAAAGTCGCGAAGTTGTATATCAATGAAACAGATATAATAATATCAGGTCAGACTATTCCGCTTTCTGCTTCGATAAGTTTGTTGTGGGGTTAAAATGGACACCAATATGTCTTGGCACAATCACGTCGCAAAGGCTGCTTCTTAAAAGTTCGATACATTGTTCCCAACCAGAAAACTGTACACACCACCTAAGCAACTTTTGATGCTTTGTAAAGCTCAGACCAGAAAATCTTTGGAGCATTGTTCTTATGTTTGGACCTCTGCCCCCAAACATACCCTGAAGTTGCTGGATTCCATCCAGAAAAGAGCCATTCGCCTGATTGGAGACGCGAACATCACGTGCAAACTTGATAGCCTGGAACATCGAAGAAAGGTTCGAAATTTATCTTTCTTCTATAGATACTTTCACGGAAAGTGTTCAAGTGACTTGGCACATTTTATTCCACCAAGAGCAGTACGTATCAGAAATACGCGACGGACTGAGGCTGCTCAACGTTTTAAGGTTTAACTTAGTACACCTGGAACTTCACTCTTCGTGAACTCTTTCATCTAAAGAAGTGCGTTCATGTGGAATAAACTTGCTGAGAATGTTTTTTCAAATGGATTTAATCTCCAGCGATTGAAATTCAATGTGAATTGCTACTTTCGCACAGGCACCGCTCTGAAAGCGCCCAAAGGATTTTTCTGTAGTGCTTGTGTTTTGTCCTCGAAAAGAAGGAGAAGGAAAAGCAACTTTTGTACTGGATAAAATCGGAACTCCTCAAGAACGCGAAAATTTACATGTAGTCATGTATAAAAATACAACCCTTCTGATATCAATTGATGAACCGCACAGAGTGTTATTCAGTAATCAACACTCTAGTACAATCGGGATGCATGTTGTGGCATATGAAAGTACCATGTGCTATTCACCACCAGATGGTACTTGTTTACCATCTGGGAAATAATTATTTACGATCAGAATTGGCGACGAAGTTTAGTATATTACTTGGAGTTTTTTTCCGACACCAAACCGTTATTTCAACACCTCGACACGTGTTTCGATCACCAAGTGATCATCTTCAAGAGGAATATCAAACTAATCATACTTACAAAGCTATCCCCATTTATACCATAGATACCTGTTTCAGATACCTGTGTCTTGAATGTCTCAAATTAATTTTACAATTTGCCTTATCCACTAGTCTTACATGAATTTTACAATGTGTCCTTATGTATTAGTATGGTAAATCTAATAACTGAAATATTATAAGCTATATGGAATTAATTTCATAATTTGTCTTATTTACTAGTCTTATATTAATTTTACAATGTGCCCTTATGTTATGGTTAAGTAAATCTGATAATTGAAATATTATAAGCTATATAAAACTCAATTTTACAATATTGCCTCATCTACTAAGTTTTACAATGTGCCCTTTTGTGATAGTGGGGTAAATTCAATAAATAGAATATTATTTTAATAAGCTATATGGCTTACTATTAGGTATTGGTACATTATCATTATTGATAATATTATTATGTTTATAATATTTCCAATACCAATTGGAACAGCACACAGAAGGAATTCCCGCCTCGACATAGGCGTCGGCATATTATTTTTCAGTGGTAGTTTTTCAGTTACTTACTTATTCTTACAATCATAGCAATTGATCACCCCATGAAAAAGTTATCTAAACTGAATTTTTCCACCATGGGTGATTATGAAGAACTTCGAAATTTAAGGTAGTTGATTTCCGAGTCGAAAACTCTGAAATACAATGAAACTACAAATAATGACACCGAATTCTCGTCAAACATATATTTACAAAATAATAGAGGCAAACAAAATTGCTAGAGAAATCAAAATTCTTCTTCACTATATTCGGATGAGGCGGAATCATCATCGGGTTGAATAACGATCGGATTTATGGAACTTTGCACATAATATTTGTTCTCTTCTTTTATAACATGGGCGACACAGTTCTTCCACACATCTCTATTACCTACTTCATTCACCACTCGCCTTATATTGTCAAGCACCACAGCATTCAAAGTCGGTGACTGATTACATTTCCGCAAGCTTTCTTTCATTGTGGCCCAAATCATTTCAATTGGATTGAACACACAATAGTATGGAGGCAAACGTAAGAGAATATGACCACGTGTTTCACAAGTCGAATCAATAATATACTCTTTTTTGACATTACGTTGTTTTATGGTCGCCAGTAATATTTTTTTCATTTGAATCTTTTCGGGTAATTCCATGTAATGATTTCGCATTAAATCAACAATATCTGCTTTTTTTGTGTTATTGTTTGATATTGTAGTCAATAGTCGAGAATGATACGAAGCGTTATCCACAACAATAACTGAGTTTGGAGGAATATTTGGGAGAAGCTGCTCACTGAACCAGATTTCGAATAGAGCCGCAGTTATATCTTCGTGGTAATCAGCAGACAAATCTTCTCCCCTTGAAGAAGGTGTGTTCAAAGCACAATACTTGGTTTCGTCTATCCAGCCATATTTGATAACATCATGGGTGTCAAACCAAGTTTCGTCGAGGTAGATTATATGTCTGCTGGATTCTCGGTAGCTTTTCATTCGCCTCAAATATTCTTGTCGTAGTTGAACAATGCGTGTCGATTCCATTCCACGAGACAATAAGCCACCTCGTAGAGTGTCTAAAGATTTGTAATTGTAATCGGGATAGTCGAGTAATTAAAACCAAATCATTTCCAAGGCTTGTACTTCATTTTTTGGTATATACCATAAATTGTTCGCCGAATCACATCTTTTGTAGCACCATCAACGTTTGGGAATTTTTTATTCCTTTGTTTTCGTTTCATTGGATGGTCCATGACATCCCTTATTTTAATGACTTGAAAAACTGTCGAAGGAGATAGTTTCGTTAACTCGCATATTCTATTCACAGTTCTCCTTCTTCGAGCATTCATGAATATTTAAAATTACTCGCTGAACTTGAACATGTGAGTCCTTATTTTCAAATTCCGGATACCTGTCGATTGACACAGATTTCTCACACGTAATGTTATCATTTGTTTCAGAAGGTCTCCAGAAAGCCATATTGATGAAAGTACCCAAAAACACTAAGATTTTCACAAAAATGAAGATGCTAACACCAAACTGTTAGCATCTTCAGGAGAAGCAAATTGATACTGAATCTAGAGACAAGGGTTAGCTATTTATATACCAGAAGTTTTTTGATTGGATGTGGACTTTGTTTGTTGAATGATGATTATTCTGATTGATTGCTCAAATTAATTTGCAGGTAATGATTCCACTAGTTAATTGCCGAAAAATCAATTAGGATAATCATCATTCAACAAACAAAGTCCACATCGGACCAAAAAACTCTAGGTATATAAACAGCTAACCCTTGTTTTTAGATTCAGTATCAATTTGCTTCTCCTGAAGATGCTAACCTTGTTAGCGACACGCGCGTCGAGTGCAAAAATATCAGTTTGGTGTTAGGGTAATTGATCTCTAGAAAAAGTTTTCAAAAATCGGTTTGAAAAACCATTCACTACCTCACCTAACCCCACGAACACACGGCACTGATGAATAAATATTGTGAAATGGACAAAAAATTAGTATTCAGCCAGTCCAGCTAACCGAGCCTTCATTCCTCAACTACATTTGATAGCACGTTTACTAACTCTCTGGGCGACTAGTGGCCACAGGCAAGAAATGTTTATGACTGTACTCTTATTTTTATTGCCGTTCCAATTAGAAATGGATATACTATACTTATTTCTACACTCTCATAAGCCTCTGGATGCCTATTATCATCAACTTGTCTAACTAATCTCAATGAATTGAGGTATATGGAATGATTTTTTTTGCAAAAAATTATAGGCAACTGCTGTTTTTTCAGGTCTCCAATATTTTAAATGTGCTGAAGGTTTGTGTTGTTTTTGTTCGATTGTCAACCTCATTCTGAGAAATTTCGGTGCTGGCGAATAATACTGACAGCCCTCTAGAATAAGATATAATTTGATGAATATTGCAATGCAAATTTTTTTCCTGGTGTGAGATGTGTGATTTTTTTCATTAAAATGAATGTGATATTTGAAATAGTTATTTTTTAGTTTCGAGAGTCGTTACCGACAGAAGAATAAAATTCAGCATCCTGACAGATCATTTTCCATTACCAGAACCTATAAAAGCTGTATCCCTGTTACGGTAGAATTGGTTCAAACATTCAATGAAGTGGTGAGGAATTTTTCTGGATATAAAGATCAATTCCACATTTGTAAACAGACTTTTTGCGGAGTGTCATGAGTTCAATCACAAATATGACGTTTGAAAAAGCAATGTTTGAAATTCATCACTTTTAACTACTTAGAAATCATTAGATTCAATAATTCGATACATTCACTCAATAACCAAATAGAAATGAAAACATATCTTTTGTTTTGAGTTTTTTTACCAGTGGTAGAAGGATGTTCAGTTGAATATTGCAATGAAATAAATAACTTGAAAACTATTTTTTTTTCTTATTAATGAATCATGCAGATAATATTCGATTCAGTTGAAATATGGAAAAATGTCATAACTAAATTGGAAAAAATGCATACAATTCATTTGCTGTTTGAACCATCATTCTGGAATCCATTTTCTCGTAAATTTCAGGAAGTAGAGTCCTTACTGTGTAAAACATGTCGATACGCTGTTTGCACTTCTCAATGCTGAACTTGTTCATTAACAACATGTTAACTAAGAAATTCCCACCTGAAAAAAATTGAACCTTTGAATCTCATCAGCATTAATTTCACCACCTGTGGAAAATGTTACTGAGTTTTTCAGTATTGACAATAATAATGAAGGCGCGAAACTCCTTCTCTTTAATTCCAACAGCTTCCTCTTGTAGATATCACCCACCGCTGATCTGGTGGAATCCTTCTTGAGAATGGTTTATACGTCGTTGTAGCTCCTCAACCCAAAACCCCAGACTTCATATTTCTGAAGATGACTCCGAGAGCCTGAACCCAATGAACTTCGAAATATATTAATCCCTGAAACAGTGTGGACCAAAATACGTTGAAGCTCTATAATTTTGATTATCTACCTTATCAATAGAAAAAAGGTCTCGAATCACTTTTGCGTAGACTTTCTTGGAAAGTATTTTGTTTATTGATTCGGCTTCAAACCCATTGTTAACCGCAATTTGCTTGATGATGTTGAGTTCTTTATTGAAATTATCTATTGATACTAATCTGTGGATCATGCTATTGAAAGCTGCTACTTTGTGTTGATAAAGATGGGTAGAATCATATAATATAGTAATATCTGTATAGGATGGTTTGTGATAAATTGAAATATCATGTTTGTTGTTCATTCCACTAATTATCAAGTACAAGAAATCTATTGAGTTGTCTGCTTATACTTCAATAGTGAATTTATTGTTTTCATGAATTTTGTTATTTTCCCTATGAAAAGTATCTAATTGTCTCTTAGTACCTGTAAAACATACCAAAACATCATCCACATATCTATGGCAATTCATGAAATTTTCAATCATAGGATGTTTAGAAATCGACTTCTCTAGATTATTCATGAAAATTTTCGCAAGTAAGGGTCTTAAAGGATTTTCCATAATTAAACCTTTTGAAGATCAATGATTTCTCGTTTTATGACTGGATTCACTCTATTTCCATCTATTAATTCTATCACTGAAGTAATAGTATCATCAGGAGGTATACTGCGAAATAGATTCTGCAAATCGAAGGATAGTAATTTTGCGTTGTCCTTCGAGAGAAATTCTGGAAATACGATAAATTCGGAAAGGAGTTCGAAGACGAAATAAGAATATACCCCAAAAACATGTACTTACTCATGAAAGTATATCTTGTTTTCATCTCCAGCACACTTTTGGCGGTTTATACTTCACGAACTACCTTTACCGTGTTGGCTGCCAGAAGGAGAATTTTGGTTTTACGCTATCTCTTTATTCGAAATTGAACATTTGTCCTTCGGTATATATGCTGGTGCTCTAGGATTTGACACGATGTTCCCCCTCATGTGCATGGGGGCACATGTGGGCAATTTTGATTACCCAATCGAGCTTTTTTAAGGATGGAAAACCAAAATGACGTACGGATTTGTGTAGCTCATCATACATTTTTATATGAGTAAGTAGCCGGCGAAATGAATACTTTAGTTTGTTTTTCACCCATGATTTCCCAACTGAATCATATAGCACAATCATTTGAGTCATTTTCTTTATAAATCTGACGTTGATTATACAGAACCTTCCTTAATAACATCATTATATTTAAGTAAGTATATTATTTGTTAGTCCATTTTGAAAAAAAGCCTTGTATAAACGAATTACTTCTTGAGTTTTAAACTTTGGTTTTACTTCAGATGATCTGTTAAACAAAGTACCTCAAAAGGATTTGAAGCTTAATATTTTCTATTAATTATCTGCGAGCGCTTTCGACAGTTGGTAGTACTGTCATCTTCTAGGCACTCCTCAAACTGATAATAATAATAATATATATATCGACATGCAAATCAACAATGAATTTATTTCAATGAATATATTTAATATGGAAGTGTCCAGTCTCTATATAGTATTTTCAACTAAAATAACATTTTTAATCCTTTTCTGCCAGTCTTCTTTGGTAATATTGAATACTTCTTCTTGTGGAATTGACCGCGGTGGTCGTGCGCCCGACTCACGATCGGAAGATCGTGGGTTCGATTCCTGCCTCGACCAGATATTTTTCTCGAGATAATTTATCTGGTTGAAGCTGGGATGATTATGCAATCGTGTTAGGAATCACACGTTGAAAGGTAAGACGTCGTTAGTCCTCAGCTCGCACAAGTTTCTCAACTTCTGAGAGTTGTCGTTCGTATGGGGGCGACAGCTAATTCACGAAAAAACAGATTTCAAACAGATTCAAAAACAGATTTATTTAGCTCTATTACCTCCTTATCAAATTTTGGAAAATAATTTTTACGCCTGATGATTTCCCCAAATCAACTCGATGGGATTGAAAACACAAAAATAGGGTGGAAGTATTAGTATGGTGTGTCCATACTTTTCAGCAATACTCTCAAAGGTATACACTTTTTCAAATGTTTTTGTCTGTAAAACTTCAAGTAGTTGAAGTTGTCTGTCTATTTTATTAATTAAGTCATGAATTCCGTGGACTGAATTTCAGTTGGAAGTTACAATGATTCGAAATGATACTGATTTGAAAAATCAAGGGTTTTGATTTCTTGAATTAAGGAAATTTTGAAATAGTGAAACGGGATCCAACTAATTCTTTCCAAAGACAAGTGGAAGAAGTGAAATTTAAACATATTTTTCACTGAACGGGAAAAGTTCAAATTAACATTCATGAATCCCCAAATTCCAAAATTATTCTCACTCGTAAAACTGCACCAAAAGAGTTATCCAATTAGACCAGTGGTTTCCTTTGTCACTGCACCATCAATGAAATTATTAGAAAAGCTAATCATTAGCATCTCGAACCATTGTAACTTCCAACCAAAATTCAGTCTGCGAAATTCATATGACTTAGTCAATAAAATAGAGAACATACCTCCACCAGACAACGCAAAATTACTATCCTCTGATGTGCAGAATCTATTTTCCAGCATACCTCCTGATGATACTATTACTTTAGTAACATAATTATTAGATGAATATAGAGTGAACTCAGTCATGAAACGAGAAATCATTGACCTTCTTGTCTCAAAAAAAATTATTTTCAGTTCAACAACAATATTTATGTCCCCTCAGAAGGTTTGATTATGAGAAAACCTTTGAGCCTAGAGAAGTAAATTTTCAAACATCCTATGATGGAGAATTCCATGAATTGACATTGATATGTGGATGACGTTTTGGTATGTTTTACAAGTACTAAGAGACAATTGGATACTTTTCGTAAGGATATTAACAAGATTCATGAAAACAATAAATTCACCATTGAGGTAGAAGCAGACAACTCAATCAATTCCTTGTTGGACTTAAAATTAGTAAAATGAACAACAAATATGATTTTTCAATTTATTACACACCGTACTATACTGATATTACTATACATTAAGATTCTAATAGCATGATTCTCAGGTTAGTCAATGTTCCTCTTTCCATAGATGATTTCAATGAAGAACTTTATATCATCAAGCAAATTGCGGTTAACATGGGTTTGAAACTGAATTAATAACCAAATACTTTCCAAGAAAGTCTACGCAAGAGCGATTTGAGACGTTTTTCCTATTGATACGGTAGATAATCAAAAGTATAGAGCTTCAACGTATTTTGGACAAACAACGAAAAAAGTGGCTTCATTTTTGAGGAAACGAGATATTGAAATTGCATATAGAATGAGTAATACGTTGGGAAAGTTACTTGAAAATAATAAAGACAAAACATCTGAATTCGAGAAATCAGGAGTATATAAATCAAAGTGTGAAACGTGTCTAAGGTATATATTGATAAAACTGGAAAAACATTTAGGAATCGAATTCAGGAACATTATATGAGCTATGTAAATAAGAAAACAAATTCAACATATTCAAATCATCTTCTAGAAGAGAATCATATCTTCAACAGAGAGTTCGAAATTTTGCACATAAGATAATAAAGGTTTGAACTGAATCATTTGGAAGCAATGGAAATTATTAAACTTAAAAATTCAAACTTTTTAATGAATGACCAACTGACCATTCTGTCACAGAAAAACCTGTTCCTGGTATACACCTCACTGGCAGAAAGTATATTCCGTTACTGTATTACTGTTTGGGGGGTAACAATTAATACTTCAATAAAGCCTCTACAAACCATGCAGAATTCTTTATTAAAAATAATATTGAAGAAAGGTAAACGATTTTCGACCCAAAAACTGTATGAAGAAACCAAATTACTCAATATTAGAGCACACTACTGCTACCAGTGTTTGATTTGGACAACGACAACTTTTAGAAAAATTAGATTTACTGATAATCAAAATGTTAGAACCCCCGAAAATCCCATACGCAAAGATTCGGCTTTTTTGTCGGGCCAAAATTATATAACCAGCTTCCTATGGAGCTTAAAACAGTATCAGAAATTGAAAAATTCAAATCTGCTATCAAAAAGTATATAATATCAGAAAATTCTAAAATACTTGACATATTCTGAAAATATATTGGAATGAATTACCAACAACTCATTATTTAGTGGTGGAGGTAACTTACAGTTTACTTCCTTCCGACCTTCACCCCCATTGTAATTTCAATAAAATTTTAATTCACTGTCACTTTTATGTTTCTTTTGTTGTAAATTGACAATGAAAAATAAATAATTTTTGTTTGAATTATGTAAGCATGTACTGTTGAATGATATTCCAACTAAGAGTGGAATGAAACAGCACAAACAGGCATTCTGATACCTGGGTGTATTTCACCCATTTGTAGTGGTTCTGACTTAATATATTTCACATATTTGTACTGAAAAATTGAAATAAATTTGATTGATTTGATCTGATTTGAATTTGAATAGATCACTTGTTTTCTTAGAAAACAAGTTCAATAATGAAAGAATTATTATTGATATAGAAGTGAGGTAATATGTTTCAGCTGATCATAATTGAAGAGGTACCTTAGTTAGTGATTCAAGTAATTTTTTTGGAGGTAGTCCTAATTATGGTTACCTGTAGTATATAAATATAAGCGTAAGAAACAACATAAAGTGTTCGAATCACTTGATAAAGCTACTATGTTAGCAAATCGTGTTGTGATATATTTTTCAGATAAAGTTTGTGGAGATCAAATCATGAGATGTAGTTTATGAAATTACTATGGTTCTTCATCAAATTACGGATCAGAAAAAAAAAACTTCATTCTAAAAAATTGCCAGTGTTTCCCAATAATATATTATTATTCAATGAGGTTTTTTCAATTCCATTTCGATAAAAAAACTTCATTTCTATACAGTTTGGGCACCCCTTACAGGGTGGCTCAAAAAAGTGTGACATATCGAAGTTGTGTTTTTTTAAATGGGACACCCTATATTTTGTTACACTTTTGAATGAGCCAGAAAAATATAATATGATTTCATATGGAGTACTATGTACCTAACTAAAACCGTTCTCGAGTTATAGTTTTTCTTATCAAAATGCCTGGTACAATAATTGGAAACTAAATAACATCGAAATGTATAGAAAACGAATCTGACCGAGCAACAAACCACATACCTCGTGATTCTACAGAAAAATTCCAACATCGTGGTGTCATAGAACAGCTTAACAATATCACAACAGTACTGTTTACAGTTTTTTGTGTTCGCGAGTTCGCTTTAACAACGACCATTGATAAAATTGAAGAAATTGAAAAACAAAGTCAAATTTCTTTAGGAATATTGGAAGAATCATGTGCAGCGAGTGTTGATTCATTGCTTAAAATAACTCAAAAGTGATATAAAAAAATTATGAACTTTTTGAAACAGCCGCCGGTCATATGGATACCGTAAAATCAAAATAACATATGGGATGACGAACATTCTTTAAACGTGTCACCGTTTTCGATAGCCATATTATTTATCGAATATTCTGAAATTTTCGAAGGAAGTTTTCTGTAGAAGAACAGTACTTTATATTTATCTACATTATCTAAGCTCACGAAAAAAATTAAAAATCATACTCACTGGGTTTCTCAGGTAAATGCGGTTGCGTTGTCATCCACTCGGTCAATATTTTCACGTGTTCCTCTAGTTGTTTCTCCGTTCTCTCTGCAGATTTCAGTGCTACTTTCAGAGCAGATTCATTATTTGCTGACAGCCAGTCTTCGATATCTACCATTCTGCTAGAGAGATTAGTGAACGAGTTGAGACTACATATATTTTCAACTTGAATTTAGATAATATGCAGTATCATTATCCCCATTAAGAGTGCTGCAGTGAAATTAAACGACTACAAGTACATGCCAATCACTCATGTATTGATAAATGCAACATGTTCAAAGTCAATCAAACCAATATTTGATGAATGTGCGAGTACCTCAGGACCTTGAAGTTTCCATGTATTACATCTATTCATCTATTATGAAGTTTCAATATTGAATTTTCTAGAAAGTGATATTCTATAGAAAAGATTTGAATTGTATGTCAACATACAATTCAATATATGTGGGAAGTAAAACTACTAAAATATCATTCCCGTTTTTTTCTACATGGAATAGTAAGAAAGAGGATATATTCGGGTACTCGTACGTTCTATTCGGAATCAAATAGTTGAAAAAATATGAAGACCGTGCTTTTGGAATCACGAAAGTTATTATATCATCCATGGATGCATATATTCCAAACTAGGTTTGCTAATGTTCGCAACAGCTGCAAACTCAGAATAAACGAAAGCAAAGAACTCCACAATCAGAGAATGAGGGAGAAACTGCCTGACAATCCCAACGATTCCTTCTGGTCGGTAGCTGAAGCTATCTACCACCACTAACACAAGCGGATGGTTCAATTACAATAACTACCATGGAATAAGCAAATCTACTTGCTGGACAATTTTTGTTCCACTTCACAATCGATTTTCTGGAAAAGGGCACCACCCACTATTCCCACACTAGAATCTACAATGTCAGAAACTACTTTTTGACAACGTCCAGTCAGGTTACGTTTGAAACAGCTCAACACCAGTATTTTGCAGACTTTTCAACCTGTCTTACAAGAAAGGGGGTTTTCCTTCTTGTTAGAAGACTGCTCGCGTTCAGCCTATTCCAAAAGCTTTCAAATAACTATAAACCAGTTGCTTCAATATCAGTGATATCAAAAATCAAGGAAAAAGCCGCAAACCACCATATCTTTGAATATTTGGGGAGCTTTAGCATCTTGAGCGATCATCAATATGGCTTCGGAAACAAAGAGCAATAGGAGACCTCCTACCGTATGTCACCTATATTTGGAATAACGCAATCGAGAAACATAGAGAGTCAAGAGCTCGAAATATTTCTAAGGCTTTCTACTGTGTGTGGCATGAGGGTTTGCTGGCTAAATTTCGATGCCATGACTTGTCGGATGATTTTTGTGTATGGCTCTCCTGCTTCCTGGAAAAACATTTCCTGCAGGTGGCCGTCGATGAATATCTCTCAAATAGTTTCACCATCAACGTTGATGTTCCTCAGGGATCCATACAGGGTGTAACTAAATAAGTGTAAAACATTTGAGGAGGTGATTCCTCATCGACAACAAGGTAGGATCTTTGATATATAATATACCATATGGTATATTCGATCGACAATATTCTCAGAATATTCAAGGGAGAATAATCCATTTATAGACATTCTATGCACATTCTTTCGGGAAACCAAAAGTGTCGCAAAAATCCCAGTATCGAGAACCAAACTAGGTTTGATAATGCTCGCAACAGCTGCAAACTCAGAATAAACGAAAGCAAAGAACTTCACAATCAGAGAATGAGGGAGAAACTGCCTGACAATTCCAACGATTCCTTCTGGTCGGTAGCAGAAGCTGTCGAAGAAAATTCTACAAAATCTACAATTCCACCACCAACACAAGCGGATGGTTCAATTACAATAACTACCATGGAATAAGCAAATCTACTTGCTGGACAATTTTTGTTCAACTTCACAATCACTATTCCCACACTAGAATCTACAATGCCAGAAACTACTTTCTGACAACGTCCAGTCAGGTTACGTTTGAAACAGCTCAACACCAGTATTTTGCAGACTTTTTAACCTGTCTTACAAGAAAGGGGGTTTTCCTTTTTGTTAGAAGACTGCTCGCGTTCAGCCTATTCCAAAAAAAAGCTTTCAAATAACTATAAACCAGTTGCTTCGCTATCAGTGATATCAAAAATCGAGGAAAAAGCCGCAAACCACCACATCATTGAATATTTGGGAAGCTTTAACATCTTGAGCGATCATCAATATGGCTTCGGAAACAAAGATCAATAGGAGACCTCCTACCGTATGTCACCTATATTTGGAATGGCCGTCGATGAATATCTCTTAAATAGTTTCACCATCAACGTTGGTGTTCCTCAGGGATCCATACAGGGTGTAACTAAATAAGTGTAAAACATTTGAGGAGGTGATTCCTCATCGACAACAAGGTAGGATCTTTGATATAAAGGAATTTCATTGGAGCATCCCTTGTAAAGATACAGCCCCTTAAAGGGGATACATGAAATGTGTGGACTAACATTTACCCACCGCTGACCTCTGAGAAGCGATAAAGGTCCTATTTTCAAGAATGAGGTGAAGTAAATTCTCAGAACACAAGGACTTCATATATACTGATTTATCAAAATATCCTCAAATGTACATATTCAGTCAAGATATCTCTGAATAGTATTTTTGGGAACGTAAGATCTCATGAAGGATGCAATTATAATAAAACTGTGAAACAGTTCAGAGGCATATACAGAGAAATTGCGAGCCATTCGAAATTGAGGTATATTATCAGTGGAAATTGTATACCTTTCCAACTGATATCCATACTGAACTGTTCATCTGTCATACAAGTGAAAATAAATATAATTCAGATATAAAAGATTGCGGAAAGTCCTAGTTTGAAAAACGATGAAACAGCAGAGCACATACTTTGTATCTGCCCTGCTGGGGTTCAAATCAGGTTTTTAGAGTTTGGCAGAGCCGTACTCTTACCGTCTGACCTGAAAGACCACTCACTATACAAACTGATCGGCTTCGTTGAAAAGCTGGATTTATTTGGTCGAGTGTGAATAGGTGTGAGCCACAATGAACCCTCGCGGGTTGCTGTAAAGAGTCGAATAGACTTACTCACTTCGGACCTAACCTAACCTAGATCTTGTTCTAGTTATTACTTATATAGCAGGATTTGTAGTGTAAAGACTCCTGAAACTTTTGCATAGTTATCAGTGCATTGAAAACTTGTTTTCTCATGAAACCAATTTCAATTAGACTCCCATATGGGTTAAGGAAAAAGGTAACTCAATTAATTTTTCTGAAAGTGTTGTTTGAATTTGCGAATTATGTGAAAGATGATGATGATTCATAAACATAAATATCCTGAGATTATCCACATATCAAAATCAATAAGAGCCTCTCCAGAAAAATATATAGATATTAGATTCCATTTTATAGAAAAGCAAACTAATTTTGAAGAAACGAAAAACAGCTCGATAATGAATTGATTGTTTTCAATGGACAATGAATTATTTCATTTGTTCAAGTCAATATTTGATGAATAGTCATGATAATAATAATAATGATAATAATAATGATAACTCTTTTATGCATGAGTTACACACAAAAGGGTAAGGGTTAGTCTATGGCTATCTTCCACCGCACCTGCTTTATGATAAATTTAACAAGAAATAACATAACGATAGCATAATACATTCGCATATCATTATTACATTTCTTTCAAGCACACATAATTTGAATAAAAGAATGTGCTTAAAACATCTAAAACTGTGGGAAAGCAAAGGACATAAATCAAAGTTTGAAATTTTAATAATTGTAAAATACAAATCATGAAATTATTTATGAATAAATTAATTGGAATTGGAAAACCCGGAAAAACCTGCAGCACCATCTTGAAGATCTTGATCTGCCAATATTCTCTATCTCATGAAACAAAATGTAGGGTGTCTCCAGAGGCTCTAATAAATTCAATACATCGACTATCGTCAAACTGACACCAGTCTAATTGGAATTGGAAAACCCGGAAAAACCTGCAGCACCATCTTGAAGATCTTGATCTGCCAATATTCTCTATCACATGAAACAAAATGTAGGGTGTCTCCAGAGGCTCTACTAAATTCAATGCATCGCCAGAACACTTAGTGACACGACTACCGTCAAACTTATACCAGATTTGAGAGACTTTTGGTTTGAGAACCCCAAATAGATTCGCCTTCGATGGCTGAATTATCTATTATATTGGTAAAGACGTATAGAAGTATCATTTCTCTCAAGTGCAAAACATTGTTGATGGAAGACATAAATGCTGGTGAACCCAGCGATGATGCTGAGCGCTGACCCATTTCTCCATGATTCACAGGCAATGTTGCTCGAGACTAAGAAATATCAGTGAAACATATGTTGAAAAACCACCATTTTCATAATTTGTTAATTTGTTTTCGTCCACAATGTATATGTTTATAGGTAGTTGAGAGATTGATTTTGACATAATGAAAGTGTGAGTTGAGTTGTCTAAAATTAATAGATTCATTCAAGAGTTTACTTGAGATATTCCCTCTACTTCAACATGGTAGCAGAGCGTGGTTGGTTAGTCTGAGGTTCCAGAGTAGAAGAAATATTTGCAAATCATAAGAAACTGCTGAAATTTTCTTGCTCAAAATTTTTGACATTGACAAGTGTTCTGAAGCTATCATTTTTATCCAGTTGGATCCAAGCTCTACCCAAAGCAAAATGGATGCAACTAAAATACAAATAGGATTACTTGAGGGCAAGTCAAACTGGTCATCATGGAAATACAAGAGCAGCTTACTATTACGAAGTATTCAAGGCGGAGATGAAACAACAGGACGTTCAAAAACAGGTGTTATTTGTATGTATGCTGGCGGTGCTATATCTTGGCTCAGTCAACGACAAACTTCAGTAGCTGAGATAGTAGCTGCAAGTGAAGCTTCCCGTGAATTGGTTTGGTTGAAACAGCTATATGAAAAATTTTTAGATATGGAATGTAATCCAGTATTGATGGTCGATAACGAAGCTGCAATACGCTTGGCCCAAAATCCGGAATATCACAGACGTACCAAACATATTCATATAAGACATTTCTTTGTAAGGGAACTGGTCTTGAATGGTGCTATTTCAATAAAAAAAAAACATCAAAACACCAAGTAGCAGATGCACTTACCAAACCGTTGTTCAAGCCAAGATTGAATATTTTACGACAAACAATGAGATTGAACAAATT